TGATTAGGAGAAACTGCAAGCCATTTTTGGGGGTGGGGGGTGGGAGGGGGAAAGTCTCTTGTTGAAGATTTGATCATTTTCTGTTTTTTTGGGTTGTTTTTTGGTGAGGCAATTGGGGTTAAGTGACTTGCCCAGGGTCACACATCTAGTGAGTATCATGTGTCTGAGGCTGGATTTGAACTTGAGTCCTCCTGACTCCAGGGCTGGTGCTCTATCCACTGCGCCATCTAGCTGCACTGGATCATTTTCAAAGGTTAGAAAGAGTAGGAGGTTTTCCTTGATAACTTCTGTGCTTGCTTTTTCAAACTGCCAAATCTCTGTATAAAATTTATTTCCATCTGATTCTGTCTTGGGCCTTTTTGTTTTATCCTGACTACTTATGTCACTCCCTTCTTTGTTCCTTAATGATACTCTCACCTCAACTTTTTAATGGGTGTACTATGTTAGATTCTGAGGAAAATACAAATTCTCGATAAGACATATTCCTTGACCTCATGGAAATTGTATGCTAATGGGGGTTGTGGCAGATAATTAATATGTTACAAATATATTACAAATATATTTTATTGAAGTCTGAAGTGGGAGAGAATGGCTTTACCAACTGAGTGAATCAAGAATGCTTCATGAAGGAGGTGATCTTCATTTTGGACTTTTAAGGCTGACTAGGAAGTTGGTGAAGAGGGCATCCCAGGCTTTAGGGAGTGTTGTGAACAAAACCAGTAAAGGAAGAAAACCATAAAATGTGTATTGGAGAAAGAGAGAAATTCAGTTTGGCTGGAGTCTAGGATACGGAGTGTTTAAGGTACAGATGTGTGTGTGTGTATTATATACATACATATACATTAATATGTATGTATGTAAAATAAGGCTAGTCGGTGCCCTTTGCTCCCTTCTATTCTCTTCAAAAATAATAGAATTTTAGAAATAGAAAGGACCTTTGAGATATCTGATTCACAAATGGGGAACTTTTCATCATTAGAAAGCCAAATGTTGCTCCTACTGGGCCAACTAAATAACAAATGAGTTTGTGTATTAAATTTTATCGAAATAATATTCTAGTTTGCATTTTGGTGATTATGTAAAAGTGGGTCACAGAGAGTCATAAAAGTATTTAGGTTTTAGGTTTTTAATCCATTATCAAATTCCTAATTTTACAGGAGGGAAAACTAAGATATCCAGAGTACATGCTTTCCCTAAGGTTACATAGTTATATAGTGACAGAGCCCTGATTGCCATTCCATTGTTCTTATAAGAATCATAATAAATTGATCAGTTTCTGTCAAAAAAAAGTTAATTCCAAATATAGTCCAACCCTTTTATAACTTTTTTTTTTTTTTTTTTTGGTTAGGCAGTTGGGGTTAAGTGACTTGCCCAGGGTCACACAGCTAGTAAGTGCCAAGTGTTTGGTTAGAGGCTGGATTTGAACTCAGGTCCTCCTGACTTCAGGGCCGGTTCTCTATCCACTGCGCCACCTAGCTGCCCCTATAACTTATTTTAAAAGTTGGATAATCCATTGATGAAACTTCCCAAAATTGAAATAATAATTCCTACAGTGTCACTGTAAAGTACTAACATCCCTTTTCTTGTGTGGCTCAAACTGGCTCTGTAGGCTGACAGTGAACAGCGGGAGTATGGTTAAAATATCTATATCTGTGGTCTAACCAGCCTCCTGAAGTGACAGCCTTGAATGAGGTGCTGTCCATTTGTATATGTTAACTTGGGTAGACTAGGTAATCTTTAATGTCTTTTCCTTCTAAATCCTATATGTTTATGTTTAAAAATTGTCATTTTAGTGAGACTAGTATAGCATGCTTATTTGTATTTCATAGGATTTAGAACTAGAAGACACTTTTGAAACATAGTTCTTTGCTATGGACATAACATTAACTAGGATTTCTTCTGTGTAAGAAGTAGTAGTGGTCACAGGTTGCAAAAACAAAAAACTCCTAATGGATATCCACCATAAATGATAAATATTTTGTGTCTGCTATTTTATCATGACATTTTTGTTCATGATTTGAAAGTTCTGTATGTACAAAATAACATGCTGTGATCATATGTTTGCATGTCTTTCTTAGATGGGCAAATTGGATGATCTTAACGTTTAACTTTTTTTCCTCATATAAATAGAAATCCATTATGATAGATCATTACCGTATGGAATTGGTTGTAACATGAGTTGGTACTGTCCAACTCTTGAATCTTGAAGAGGGAATGATAGCTAAAAATCTGTTTAAAAAAAAAAAGGCGTACTTTAGAACGAATCAACAATCAAAGATTTGCCATTGACGTATATATTTAAATTATGTTTTGTCTGCTGGAGAGTAAAATATTAAATGTTATTAGAGAGTAGTTAATTTTTGATTTAGGTCCTCAGTACTTCTGACACATGAGGTAAATAATAGAAAATTCCTGATGTATCACATTGTTTGTTTTCAGCCAATCACAAGCCAGTATGTATTTTTGCATGTAATAATGGGGTTTATTGTTTAAAGAGGAGCTATAAAGTAGCACTCATGAGAAACAGGGGACTAAGTTTCAGGTATTGTTCATTGAGGTGCAGGGAAAATTAGTGTGGGTTGTTATACAGCATTTTCAAAGCTACTTTCACTTAGGACTCTGGAAATGTGTAACACTATCTTAATTATAGGTTTTAAAATGTAGTGCAGACCTAATTTAGTGCCTCTTGAGGTAAAAGCCTTCATCTCTGCTTTTACGTTTTGATGAAACAGTCTAAAGTAATAGACTGTTGAAAGAAAAGTCACATAACAGTAAAGGAGATGGAAAAACCTATGAAAATGTCATCAAGGTACTTGTCACCATCTTCACCAATCTTCTTCTCACCTGAGCCAATTGAGTTGGGAACTGTAACTGGTTCCTCTTGTTCGCTGGATGAGCTAGATGGTATTTTACACCTGTTGAGGAAAATATCCAATGATATTAATGAAATTAAAGGCATGAAGGCAGCAGTTTTAACAGTGGAAGCAAATCTTTTTGACCTAAATGTTAGAGTATCACAGAATGAAGCTAAAATTTCATCTTTGGAAGTTAAAATGAATGAATTTTCAACATCATCGTCTGAATGCAACAGGCAATTTGAAGATCTTCAAGAGAAGCTACAAGATTTTGAAACACAGTCAAGGACTACTGACATAAAAATAATTGGCTTCCTAAGAAACATTGAAAAAGGTAAACTCTTTTGAGTGCGTTCTTCAGGTATCCATCTTCTTACACAGATCTCAACTCATCTTGGATATAGCCGCAATTCATTCTGACCTTTTTTCTCACGCATTTCTAATGAACAAATGTGAATTATTCATGATTTAAAAGAAACTGGGTTTTAATTACAGCTCTTTTGCTTACTATTTATCTTAGTGATCTTGGGTGAAGCCTTAATTTTCTTATTTATAAAAATTGAATTTGGACTAGACTGATCAGTAAGGTTCTTGCCAGTTCTGAATCCTGTTAAATGAAACAGAAGCTTAGAATTCTTAGAATTCCGACATTTCTATGGGTTCTCTTCTCAAAATAATCCTTTTTAAGATCTAGGAGGGATAGTGTAAACATTACTTAGACATTTGAAACACATTTAAAGTAAATGTCATCTTTTTGTGTATTTATCTGAATATGAACTTGATACCTAAAAAGTTATTAGCTATTGCACAGTTACTTCATTTTGTCAGAAATGTTTTAGTATCTGAATATATGTGGAATGAAAACTTCCATTTCCTTATTTCTAGTTCTTATGTCAGTTTCTCTAGGAGTAGGACAAGAATGCTAATTGCCTGAATTGAGAGAGACGGGTCTTTGTTTCAACTCATTGTTTGACATTTTGTATTTGTGTGTCTGCTTGAGCCATTGTTAACTTTTGAAGTTATTGAACTAATTTCGTTGTGCTTTGGTACCCTACTAAAGGTTATCATGCCACTTGAATATTGAAACAAAACAATTTCTGATAATATTTTCAGGCATATTTTTAACTTGTAACACATTTCAGTAAAATTTGGTACATAGCTAAACAATAGATACTTTGTTGTGCTGACATCTACAATTCAGATTAACCCTGTTAACAAAAAAATGTAGCTATCTTTCAGTTATCTTATCAGTATTTTTCATTTCACTCAATCCTGACTTTTTGTCCTCCTTTGGAGTGTAAAGGCTTTTGTTTTACGTAATTAATGTGAATGGCTGTATCTTCTGTGTACAAGGCATTTACTATAGGTAGTGTCCAAGATATGTGGACTTTCTCTTCCGTATAGTACAGAGAATGAAAGTGTAAGTGTTAGGGTCTCAGAATATTAGAAAATAAGGAGCCTATTTAGAAAACAAAGCAACTCAGCTTAAAATGCATCCTTTCTTATAAGAACCTAACGTAATTAGTATTTTTATACTTCATCAGCAAATGGAATACTCAAATACTGAATCTTAAATTCTAAATTCTAATACTAAATTCTAAATACTAATTGTTAAACTTTTTCATTTTCCATGTCACATTTGTAGCAGAAGCCTGACACTCTCCTGTTTGGAGTGCTTCAATTTTTTTGTCTCTATTCTCTCTAAATAATTTAAAGGTGGGATGAGGGGGAAAGGCCAATGAGTTAGGTTATTGGTTCATACTTTTCATATATTTTGGACCTGTCTGGCTCTCTGTACCATCATTTAGCTCATCGGTGCCCCCACAGCTCCGTTTTCTGAAACCCCTTTGTAATGGCTCTGTGATCATCCTCTTTTCCATCTTTGGTATCACTTCCTGTTTTGAAACACTGACTTTTGGTCCTCTACTATGTTGCTGTTAACCCTAAGTATAGCTTTCTCTCAGGTGATGCATGGATGTGTTGTTGTGTTGGAAAATAACTATCAGATTACTTCAGAGCCTTCAATCAGGAGAATTGATACATTATATTCAAACACAGACATACTTTTCTCTTTAAGTTAAACATGTAGGTATTGATTATTTTTGAGATTTAGTGAAATCTTCTTTTAATCCATGCCATCTTTAGGAGCTCAACAAAGGCAGTTGTTTTCCCGACTGCAAATTGACCCAGTAGTGGAGGAAACTTTACAAATGAGTCAAGGTTGGTGATGGCTTTAAATTTCCTTTGTGGTGCTGTAGTTTTCAGATGGTCTATGTTTTCTTTTGTGTGTGTGCATGTGTTGAGCCTTAGAGTATGGGTTTTTTACCTTTTCCTAAAGCTAGGATATTTAAAACTGATCATTTATATTTTTTGTCCCTGCTTCCGTGACAAGTTGCTACATTTATAGAAAATGCATGCAGATTCTTTAGCCAGTTGATGTCTTGCTAATGACTGTTTACAGTGCAGTAAGTGCAGTGTGGTTATATTGACGACTTGTGGTTGATTGTATTGAAGATTATGTCTTTTCCTTACTAGGTTTTTCTCCTCCTTTTACTGTTGTTTACTTCTATTTATAGCTTGACATATGAAATAGATTGAAGTAATTCCCATCATTAAGAAGCATTAAGTCCTAAGTTGCAAGTGGCACTCTGCAAAATGGATTAAACAGATCTGTGTTGTCTGAGAGCTTGGTGACTTAGGGCAATATCTAGACATTTTGTATAGCAGTTAACTCTAGACAGTGATGGGACTGCTAACTAACCCATCCAGGTTTTCCAAAGAGCTATATCAATTACTGCTAGTAAAGTACTTCAGATACCTCAATTAGGACTTTTAAGAGAAATTGAATTCTTTGTGAAATGAACAGTAATCTTGTCTCCATATCCATAGGAAAAATGATTGGCATTATTACACCTCAGGTTAAACGTGTTGTAACTGGCTATAGATAAGTATTTGTCATCTGTTTCTGAAATTTTTTGAATGGTGATTATACATGCTGAATGGTCTTTTATGTAAAAGGTGACCTAATACTCTTTTAAAAACCTTCATTCTGGGAATGACAGGTCTATTTAAGAATAATTATGTGTTTATGGCCAATTTTCTTGGGTCAGATTACTATGACATGGAATCCATGGTCCACGCAGACACAAGATCATTTATCCTGAAGAAACCAAAGCTGTCAGAAGAACTGGTAGCGACACCAAACCAGGAATCTGGAATGAAGACTGCAGATAGCCTTCGGGTTCTTTCAGGACGCCTTATCCAAACACGGTAGCTTATTTTTCTTATTACAAGAAAGACTCTTATTTGAAGCCTTTCCTGATCTCCCAGCCACCTAAAATCTACCAAATCTTCCTAAATCCACCTTGTTTTTACTTTGTATATATACTTAAGTGTATACATGTTGTTTTCCCTATTAGAATGTAAAGTTCCCACAGCTGCTAGTGTCTTCCCCTTTCAGATTTCTTTTATCTTATTTGTACTAGTTATTTATGTAACTATGTATTTATGTTGTACAGGTTGTTTCCCCCCATTAGATTGTATAATCCTTGAAGGCAGGGACTATTGGGGGTGAGGGGATTTCCTTGTATATACCCAGTGCTTAGCCAAGTACTTGGCACATTTTAAGCACTTAATAAATCTTTGTTGACTTACTGTTATATTGGACAGAACACAGTGACAAATTTTGACCCTGATAATACAGTACCTTTTAATCACTTTAGTAAATGGATATTCCTTGAAAAAAGACTTAACTAGTCATTTCTTGTTGGTATTCTCAGCAAGTGAGAGAGTGATAGGCTGATCTGAAGAGTGCTTACAGTAGAAATTCTCAGCAGCGTTTTTAAATTATTTTCACATTTCCCTAAATTTATGGTATTTTCTGTTTGTCTGGCAGAGATCTTGTACAACCAGATAAACCTGCAAGTCCCAAGTTTATAGTGACACTGGATGGTGTCCCCAGTCCCCCAGGATACATGTCGGATCAAGAGGAGGAGGACGTATGTTTTGAAGGAATGAAACCAATAAACCAAACTGCATCCACAATCAAGGGATTGAAAGGCCTCCGCCCACAGCAGTCACAGTTGATGAACAGGCAACTGGATGACCCAGATGGTAGTTTTTCAAATGGTGTGTTTGGAATTGAGATCATCCTTTTATAGGGAAATTTCCCCTGTGAAGAAAATCTTTTGATGGGAGATTTAAAACATTCTTGTGTGTGTACAAAGACCATTCTTTCAGTCTTTGCCAGAAGGGTTTATTAGGGAAATATGGATTCTGATTTTTTTCATTTAGTTTGTAGATAAAAGACATCTAGTATGAAAAGGGAAAATACAGGCATAAAATCCAAATATACAAATATAATGTTTTGAATGTTAAAACTAGAATAGTTTGCTATGCCTATTGAAGTCTGAAAGACCATTCTTGGTGTCTTTTTTTTTTTTTTTGTTAAGAAACTATAAATTGATATGTTCCCATAGACTTATCATTCTCCCTGGTAATTAAATGATTGGCCCAGTTGCTGCTTATAGCAATGAAATTCCTCGTGTTAGAAGTTTGTTGCTTACTAGTTCTGCTAGGAAACCGCAGCACTTGATTGAAGTATCAGAAAGATATGGTGTATAAGCTTGAGTGCAATAATAGATGGACTGTAAGCATTTCTAGTCCACTGCTTTGCTTTCAGGTAGGTGAATGTTTATCATTACTGCTAACTTGCTCTCTGACCTAGTATACCTAGTAGCAACAACTTCACTATTAAATATTTCCATTCTGATCAGAGAGAATGACAGTCAAACTCTTCAAACCTCTTAAAGGTTTATAAATAATCCTGTGATAGGGAAATAATTACTGACTCTTGGAAATAACAAAGATTTTAAAAGTTGTGCATTTGGAGGAATTAACTATAAAGTGAGCTCCTTCTTAGTATGTATATGAAAATTAGTTGATTGCTCAAAAAATGTATCCCCAAAGCTGCAAAATTGGAATTGGCTGTTGTTGGAGGTAGTGTGTGTGTCTCCCTGAGGGCCCCTCCTCCCCACCCCATTAGAGTTTTTTTTAGTGGACGATGGATGACTTCTTGTAGAGAGTAGTTAGTCCTTTCAGGTATGGGTTGAACTAGATGACCTCTGAGGTCCTTTCTAATTCTAAAATTTTGTGAATCTGTATCATGAGAATCTGTATTTAAGTGAAGCAATTTATTGTGGCTTTTAGCAGATACATCTTAGGATATCTTTTGTAATTCCATTGGAAAATCATGATTAGACTGTTAGTAATTGTCGTGGAGGGTGACATAAAAAAATCCAATAGTAGGAATTTCCTATAAAAGTTAAAGGTAACATTATCTAAATGTTAAGCCTCTTGCAGTCAAAAGTAGAGAGGAGCAATTTGTATTTTTTTTTTGAAGTGTTAAGATGTGTGAAGGTCTGATATTTTCTTGACTTAGGCTGAAAAAGAGAAGATACTTTAAGATGTATTCGGTCTTGAAAATAGCTTAATATTGGACGCTGCTTCTGAAAAGTTCTTAAATAATTCCTTTAAATGTAGCTGTAGATTTTATACCTTCTGTTTTTTTCAGGAAACATCCTGCTGCATTCAACATTGAAAGAAGCATAGCAATTTGATTGCTTGTGTGTGTGTGTAAAGTGTAATGATGTTTTTAAGTATCAGCCATCATGAACAAATTAATATAGATGAGTGTTAAGGATGTAGGACTCGCTATCTCTTTCAAGCACAACTCCTCTCGTTTGTCAACAGTGTGTTTCTTCAGGACAGCTCACTTTTCTGTCATCACAGATACTACTACATTAGTGGTTCTCAAACTTTTTTTTTGCTCAAGGCATAGTATTTCTCTTTGCTGTATGGAATTGCAGCATGCTGAATGTTTAAGTTGGCAACTCTGTGGGAAAATCAGGAGATTCGCACATGCCCATGATATTTCATGTGTAAGTTCCATACAGTTTGATGCACACCTAGCAATGGCAGCAGCATAACCTATCACAGCCAACAGAAATGGTCATTTACATAAAATAACATTAATCTAGTGAAGCTTGCAAAAAGAGCATTTTATGGGAGGTATTAAAAAAGAAGTTAACTAGGGAAAGCTAGTCATATCCAGCATAACTTGATAATTATATCACATACAAAGTCTAGTGTAATTTCTCTTGAAAGTTGCCCTCAAATACTGATAAACTCTTTGATTTTCTAGTTAAGAAGCACTTAGATATGTTCTGTTATATTGTCTTTTACGTTTCTTCTGTAACTCCTCTCATGAATAGAAGAAAAACTTCTGTTTTACTTCCTAATTTCTTTATTATAGGAAGGGCATCACACAGTTCCCTGCCATAATGTATTAAAAACTACTTGGAACCTTTTGTGTTTCTATCATTGTCCTTTCTGGATATGCTATTGCTACCTCCCATCCCTGGAACCTTCCCTTACTTACAGAGAAAAAGTTAAGCAAAGCCAATAGACAGTAACCATGTCTGAGAGCCTGCATTACTAATTCACTCTCCTAATCCCCTTCTTTTCCAATAAAAAGAGGGTGGTGCATTTCTTCTTTTATTCTTAAGGCCCAGTTATGATGTTTTGATTTTCATCTCTGCTTTCATGAGGGTTCAAACAATTCTGTTCCAAATGTTGAAAGGTGAAATTTATTTTCCTTTAGCTCCATTTCAGATTATCTGTTGGACTTAGGAGTTTTCTATCCCTAGAGTCGGAAGTCCCTGTGACCACTAACAGTGTGATTTTGATGTATTGTAAAGATGTTGTATGTGTTGGGGCAGAGGTGAGGGCATAGAGTGGTAGTGCTTTTGTGACAGTTACGTGACGGGGTTTGCCCTGGATTCTCTTGCGGCTGATAGAATTTGGATTTACTGTAACATTGGGTAACTGTAGTATGTAGTTACCATATAAATCATAAAGAAAGATATACTCTAAATGAGTCATGGAATTCACTATGCCCCCTTTGCCTGCCTTTTCAGTGTTGCATTTGGGTGCAGCCAGGTCATTGTACTCTTGGTTTCTCACATTTCATTAGAATCTTTTCTTATTAGATGTTATTGCCAGAATTGATGAGAGTTGGACAATTAGTAGCATTTTAAAAAATCCATGATTACAGACAGGTGTTGAATCTTCTTCCTTTCACAGTTGAGATGAGTGAATTGAGTATTACACAGAAACCAGAGAAACTGCCAGAGCGCTGCAAGTATTGGCCTGCCTGCAAAAATGGGGACGAATGTGCTTATCACCATCCAACTTCATCCTGCAAGTAAGTGGTACAAAACCAATTCATCCTCATTTCTACCTCAGTTCTTGGCTGAGATATTGTTTAATGTGGGGTCAGGCTGTAGTTATGTAGAGGAATGTGTCAGGTCACATGCAGGAGATGATAAGCTTTTGCATCCTTTTTAGAGAAGCTTACTGACCAATGTTTAAATATGGTAAAAATACACTGAGATTTCTGGCTTTGTCTTTGAAAAAACTTTGTTACTTTGGGAAGATCAATAAACTGCTACAGTTTGTGTTTATCTTTTCCTATATTCCAATGGACAGATTTTTAAGGCACTGAAATTCTTCTCTAAGCAACCAATATTAATAAAGACCTTAGTTATTATTAAGTTATCATTATTTAGTTATTGTTAATAAATATATTGACTTTTTAATGTTATTAGTTAATGTTATTAGCTAAGGCCCTTATTAAAAAAAGTTGCCTTTATTGAATAACATAATGAGGAAACACTGGCTTTCTGCTGAAGCTTTCTTTACTAGCCTAGTTCATTGGAACAAGCTTACTGAGAAGCTTTTAGTAGATATTTTTTTTTTTGTTCTGAGCAGTTTGGAATATTACTCCGTATTGGTGTACTCCTTACTTTAGCAAACCTTATGATATATGGGAGTTTGGATGTACCAAAAAGCAATTTTTGCTTTATAGATTCAACATAGTGATTTTTCATTAGGAAGTTCTCCCATTCAATTCAGAAGAGGTTATTCAATTTTTCAAAAAGCCTTTTTATAACTTTAATGAAAGACCATTATACTATCATTACCATTCTTTGGGGTAACATCTTTATTTTGGGGGGATTTTTAGATTTTACTTTTTAACTCATTTATTTTCATTCTGTGTCAAACCCACCATTCCTAAAAAAATTGCAAAGAAAAACTCTTGTAACAGATGTTTGTCGTTAAGCAAAACAAGGACTTACATTCACCCTGTCCAAAAAAAGTGTCTTATTCTAGCCTCTTGCGTGCATTGCCTCTTAGGAGTGTCAGTAGTATGCTTCATCATTGGTCCTCTGGGATTGTGGTCGGTCATTTCATTGATCCTAGTTCTTAAGTCTTTTAAAAGTTGTTTGTTTTGTAGTGTTTTTACTGTATACATTTTCTCAGGGCATAACTAATCTTTTTGCTAGTCAGGTACATAAATTGCTTTGAGAAAGTAGGTGAAGTTTTTAATTAAAATGGTAATGTGAAGGGTCCTAGCTGATCCGAGTCCCTAACAAGACCAAAGGGAAACACCAGCAAGCTCCTTCATCTTTAATCCTTCATCTGTCATCCAGCATAAGAAGATGACTTGATGCCTCAAGCTGCTTTTAAGTAGGACGCATGAAGTGGCTGGTGTTTGGTCCAGTCCTTTCAGTAAGTGGGGCCTGAAGACAGCAGAATTTTTTTGGTCCTCATCTGTTGAAGTGCCCTTAGGGGGCTCTCCATGAGAGCCAAATCTTGCAATCTTGTCAGAGCCATAGCAGGGGACAGGGTCAGTTCCAAGTGGGTGAGTGCCTAGGGCACTCAGTGGTTTGTGAGTTTTTTTGTTTGTTTTTGGCATGGACCCCTTTGGCAGTATGGTAACTAAATGTACCCTTTCTCAGAAAAATGTTTATAAATGCATAAAATAAAATACATAAGATTACAAAAGAAAATTATTGAAATGGTTATGAAAATATTAGTTCATGTACCCCAATTTAAGAACCCCTGGTCTAGGGAGAGAAACAGTGTCACTAGGCCGCCCCACACTTAGGGAGGACTGAGACCAGAATGACCTCTGATATCCAATGTCAGGCCTAGTAGGGCCACACATGGGATTGGAACCAACTCCTGGTTAACAATTGCTGAAGGAGGAGGCAACAGAGAAGGGGTCGCGCCCAGTTCCCATGTTGGGTTACCAGGAGATGGAGACCACAAACAAGGTTTGTGATAGAGGATAGAGCTTGGTCCTGGCCAAGCCATCCAGAGATGTCACAGGCCAGTGGCATTCAACTTGGCAGTTACTGTGTGGGCAATACCTGTCAACTACATCCAGGAGTATGGGAAGGGGTAGGAGCCTGTACTTGGCACAAAGTCTTATTCCAAGAACTCTAAGGCTAAAGTTGAGTAAAAGAAGAAAACTGGACATAATGAAGAAAGACTAAAACCTGGGAAGATTTGTATGAACTGGTGCAAAGTGAAGTAAGCAGAACCAGGAGAACAATTTATACAATAACAGTAGTATAAAGATAAACAACTTTGAAAGACTTAAGAACTCTGATCAATGTAGGGACTAACTACAATTTCATGATGAAACATGCTCTAAACCTCCAAATAGAGCCTGATGGACTTAGAGTGCCCGAGGCAGGAGAGAATTCATAACTGAAAATAAAATCAAATTGAACTTTTAAAAAAAGAAGAAAAAAACTCAAGTGTTAAACCCAGAAGTGGTAACTCCACAATAAACAGAAGTTGAGCCTTAAAATTAAAAAAAAAAATGGCTTGGCCACAAACCCCAAGATTTGTTGAAAGAAATGAAACAAGAGATTAAAAAATGAAATTAGGAATATTGAAGAAAAAGTGAGGAGAAATCGCTTAGAACATAAGGTGAAAAATAAGCCCAAATAATGGACTCTAAAAACAGAATAAAACAAATAAAATTCAGTGATTCAGTGAGACAAGAAAACCAGAACAAAGTTAAGACCGAAAAAAGAGAACATCTAAGATATTAGTTATCAAAAATAATTGGTCTAGAAAATAGCTTGAGAAATAATTTAATAATAACCTAACTCCTTGAAAACCATGACCAAACTAAAAAACTGGAATATTTCACGAAATTATGAGACTGTTCAGATCTGCCAGAACTAAAGAGCAAACTTAAAATAGAATCTACATCCTAAAACAAATTGAAAACACCATGAATTGTGATAGCCAAAATCAAGAGCTTCCAGGTCAAAGAGAAAATAGGGTTAGCATCTATATGGGAATATCTTTATGCTTTGCTAGTATTATTCCGCTGATTTCAACACTTGGAATGGAGTGTTATTCAGAATATGAAATGTTAGTGAATAGAGCTCTGGCCTTGAAGTGAGGAGGACCTGAGTTCACATCCAGCCTTAACCCCGATTAACTGAACCCCTTCAGTCACTTACCCCCGATTGCCTAAGCAAAAAAAAAAAAACCCAAATGATATGAAATGTTATTAACTGAAGCTATTTCATGATTTGATTCATAGACACTATATAAGACTTAAAAGTTTTTACTTTTTTTATTTTTTAGGCAATTGGGGTTAAGTGACTTGCCCAGGGTCACACAGCTAGTAAGTGTCAAGTGTTTGGTCAGAGGCCACATTTGAACTCAGGTCCTCCAGACTTCCAGGCTGGTGCTCTATCCACTGCGTCACCTAGCTGCCCCAAAGTTTTTACATTTTAAAGAGGCATTTTTAATGTTGCTTGTGTGTGGAATTCTTTTTTTTTTTTTTTTCCGAAACGAGTCAAATATTTACAACTTGGAGAAAACTCTGACTTTGTGTCATCTTTTCAGAAATGTCATATAATTAAAAACACCTACCACAAATTATAGGAAGAAAGATATTCTTTTCAAGTCCCTTCAATAAATGCAGTGCAAATGAAATGGACCTAAAAGAATGGATTGAAGTTGATGAATAACTGTAATTTTATTGCACTGGTTATACAGAAATGCTATTTTTAATGCTATTAATAATCCAGAGGAGTCTGATAGCAACAATGAAGAAGCAGCTTTTATGACAGATGAGAAAATTGATTGGGAACAATGCTGCTTTGACAGCCTTTGTTTCAGTAATTATTTCAGAAGAGTGACGCTTGAACATCTTTTATGTGTAGCCACACCTTACTCATTCTACTTCTATGAGTAAAGATGACAGCAATTATTTTTTTTTTTAAAACTAGCAAGATCCAGGGCAATTCCTAGACTGACTGTATCTTCATTTGTCTACAGCAGGAGTCAGCTAATTATATAGCCTGCCAGTTTTTTTACAGCCAATAAACTAAGAATGGTTTTTATACTTTAAAATGATAAAACTTTATTTAGAAATGTAGCTGTCATTCTTAGCTCACTTTCCTTACAAGAACAGGCCATGGCCAGGTATACTTTGCCTATCCCTGATCTATAGCATAGAATAATTATTAAAACCAGAGCCAGGATTAGTGGATAAGCAACTCTTGGGAACATATTTTATTTTTTGGTAAGGCGATTGGGGTTAAGTGACTTGCCCAGGGTCACACAGCTAGTAAGTAGTAAGTGTCTGAGGCTGAATTTGAACTCGGGTCCTTCTGGCTCCAAGGCCAGAGCTGTATTCACTGTGCCACCTAGCTGCCCCAGGGAACATATTTTAATATTAATGTTTATAAATGTACATGTATTTTAGTGACATAAAGGCCTTGTTCCATGATATGTAGCTATTTGTGGTTTTGAATTGCATGAGTTATTGTGAAGATTGTTTCCAGCAGACAGTGTAACTATTTGAGTACATTTTGGGAAGTTGTGCCTAGGACATACTACAATCTTGTTTTGATTTTTTTGTATAACCTAGAATCTTCAAGACAAGGTTAAATTATATTCAGATTACCTAGTTTACTTAGAGAAAAAGCATGTAGTACGTTTGGGAAAGATGTTTTTAATGATTAAAGTTTTGATGCTTTTTTTGTTGGGTAAGGGAGGAGACTGGATCTTTTGATTTTATTGATGTAGGGAATTCCTTCCAATAAGGAAATTTTCTTGTAGATTGGTACGAGTTGCCTGGGGCATTGAGAGATTAAGTGATTTGCCCAGGGTCACTCAGTACAGTAGGCATCAGAGGCAGGACCCAGGTTTTCTTCACTATGGTTGGGTCTCTGTTCACTGTGCCATTTGCTGAAGTTTACATCAGTTATCTAGAAAATCCAGTTTATTTGGATTAGCTGATTCCGAGTAAATAAAATGCTACTATCCCCAAATGCCAAACTTTTAAAAATATACTTATACAAGTAATATACAAAGAAAAGACCTTGTGTCTTGTATTTAAATGTTGCTTCATTTATCATCTATGTTGTTCATGTCTTTCTCAAAGCAGAAAAGAACTGTTTAGTCCCCTTCAAAGGAACTCTCATAATACACCAAGAAAGAATGTCTGTATTGAGTAATACTCATTTCTTCTTTTTTTCAGAGCCTTTCCCAATTGTAAATTTGCTGAAAAATGCTTGTTTATTCATCCAAACTGTAAATATGATGCAAAATGTACTAAACCAGATTGTCCCTACACTCATGCCAGTAGACGAATCCCAGTGCTGCCTCCCAAACCAGGTTAGTTACTTTTGCATGTTGCCATTTGGAATTTCTGTTTGGGCAGTTTTATGAGATATTATGTTATCTGGCTTAGGTTTACTTGTGGCTTAAGAGGTTTTTTTGGATGGAATAAATCATAGCTGAGTTAATTAGTGTCTATGTAAATTGTGTGCATGTACCCACGTGTGTTTAAAGCAAATATGTCATAAGGAGGATTTTTTCCCCCATTTTTGTGTAATATTTGGTCTAATTACCCAATTTCATTGATAGTAACATCCTGCATTCTAAGAAATAGTCTTACATATTTAAAGGGACCAATTCTGTCAGCTTTGGAAGAATAAATCAGGGTAACCTGTTCTAGAGCATTTTAAAGTCAGTTTTAACAAAAATTTAAAACTTCTTAATTTTTACAAGCTTAACACTTTTGTGGTGGTGAATAAAAAAATGTCCATTTTAGTTTAAAAATTGTCCATTTAAAAAATGAGTTAATTACAAATTTCATTAGTCCATCCTGAATTCTTATTTTATCAACAGCACCAACGCCAACAACAACATCTTCCAGTAGTCAGCTTTGCCGTTACTTCCCAGCTTGTAAGAAAATGGAATGTCCCTTCTATCATCCGAAAGTAAGCTATGTACTCCTTTTATTTGAGATATCTTTTTAAAAAATAATTCATTTTGGAAAAAGAATTACTTAGGAATAATCCCTAAAGGATGAATGAATTTAACACCCTGAATTGCTTCAATAACTGTTTCCTTTAGAAAGTTCTTTGTCTTTGTTGTAACAAAGCTATTCAAAATGTTTATAGTCATTGCTTAGTTGTCTGTTTTATGCTTAATATTTTCTTGTCCTTTTTAGGTCTTAAACATTTTCCTTGCTCTATGAATATGACATGGCTCAAACCTTTTAATGTGGAGGTTAAAGTTTTAGCCATTTGCTTTTTAGGGATTCTCTCGTCTTAGTTTTCCTGATGCATCATTTCACAAATAACACTAGATGTTCCATGTCATCAGAGGTAAAGATAGTGATTTAGATAAATTAGAGATAATTTGCCCATGTGTTGCAAACTATGGCTCTGATACCTCTGTTAGGACTCCCAGTTACTACTTATCACAGAGATTATGAATCCTGTACCAAAACAGTGTGCGTTTTGGAGACTTTGGAGCTAATGGGATTGCTTGTAGCTTTTAGCAATAAATTATTGACCATTGTATGATCCTTATGTTCTCTTCATTCAACTTGTATCTGTCTCTCGAGTCTAGTAGCTTGCATCTGTCTATGCCTGGTTAGTATACTGCTTATTGCTGATCTAAAAACAACTAGGTCTGAAACTGTGGACCTTTTATTTACATAGAATCTAATTTGTTGCTACGGGAAAAATATCTTAAAAAGATAGACTAATTCTTCAACCCATTTTACTCTTAGCTGCCTTATTTTGTAACATTACTTTAGTGAGTAGACTGACTGGCAGTACTTGGTGGGAACTGAATAAATAAGACAGTGAGACTGAGTTTTAGATGTAACCTTTTTTAGTAAAACTTTATCATGTTTCATTGTTCTGTATGCATCCCTCACCTAGGTAAGAGAGCCAAGAGGTAGAATTTAACTCATAGTAATACTTCTTGGCTTGGGGATTCATGAAATTAGGGGAAAATAATAGAAAAATACAGCTATATAAATGTGATATCTACATCTGGGGTAGAAGACCCCAAATTTACATATTATAAAGACTCAGAATTGTAAGGGAAGGGAGAAATGTGTAGAAGGATCAAATACAATTTTCTGTGACTGGATACTTAAAGGTTGGTGATGTGGGAGTATCTCCTGTAGACCTATGTAACACAAATCCATTTTGTTATTGGCTGGACCAGTAGGAAGGTAGAGATCCTCCAGTGTTGTTACATTTGGATTTGGTCATAATTTGGTTATAATAATACTGGTTGGGGGCAGTGATATCAAAGGCCAATATGCCTTTGGCCCATCTAGGTTTCTTGTAGTGAGTTTTCTTTCATCACTCAGTAAACAGTCTCATACTTTAGATTCCAGCCCAGTTTCTTCATCTATAAAATGAAGAGTTGTTTAGATTATCTCTAGAGGCTCCCTTCTATCTCTCAACCCTACTAAAAAGACACTGTCAGTTTGCAGTTTGGACCAACTGGTATGCCTGGCTTTGGAGGATATTTAATTTACTAACAAGTTAAAAATTGTTTTAAATTTTAGTCTGTCTTGAAAGGAAAGAAAGGATATACTGCATATGATTAAAAATATTAGCACATAATATTTTTTTCCATAATGGAAAGTTTTGTTTGTCATAGGATTGAAGAATCTAGACCTTCAGTTCAGTATTTATTAAGCACTTACTATGTACCAGGCACAGAATGACTCCATGAGTATTTTTTCAAGTCTTTACTGTGTTATACGTCACACATGAAAAGTATGAGACAGCAAGTTAAAATGAAAATCATTGACCCATATCACCCATACTTTGCTTTAGCTCTTTGATATGCATGGGCAAGGATGAGAATTTTATGGGCCAGATCTTTTCGTATTAAATTTTTACATACTGACAAAGCCAATTTAAAACAAAACAAAAACAAAAAACAAACCTTTGTCTTTAGCACTGTAGATTTAACACTCAGTGTACAAGACCTGACTGCACATTTTACCATCCAGCAATTACTGTGCCACCACGTCATGCCTTGAAGTGGACCCGACCTCAAACCAGGTAAAATCAAAATGAGTCTTCAGAGGGAGTAGCATATAGTGTACAGAGTGTTGGGTTAAGAGTTAGGACTACCAGTTTGCTGTTTTTTTTTTTTTTTTTTAAGTTCTCTGGGTTACTCTTAACTCAAGTCTGAGAGAGAGCTTTTAAAATGAATCCTTTAATTTTATTCCAATTAGAAGGCTGAATAATTTCCCATTTCATTTCAGGTATTTGTTAAATGCCTAGTACTGTGGGGGTGTATTTGGAGGAGGTTATGAATCACTTTTAAGTTTGTCAGGAAGAATTAAAACAAAATCAGTCAGTTTTTCTGTTTATCCAGACCTTTTTAGAGTTAGTAGTAGCCAAGTTAGATATGTTGGTTCTGGGAATGCACTTCTTTGGGCTATCTTTGTTCTCCTATAATAGATGCCTTAAAAATTGAATAAGCATTTAGCCTTTAAAAGTACTGAAGAATGATAAAATTATATATGAACATGTAGCAATAATTTTTGTGTATGTGGTTTTTTTTTTCCAGTGAATGACAACCAGACATAGTAGCTAGAAAGAAGATCATGGATTTTAAAACTCCCATCTTTGAACTCTACTGGTGAAAGACATTCTACAAATTTATCACATCTTTTGAACATGGAATATATTGTTTTCATAATATGAAGTTTGTTGCCTATTTGAAGTGTCTAATTTTTCAAATTTGTAAGTTTTATTAAGTGGTTTTAACATGGGTTTTTTACTATGAAGAGAAGTCAGTGTGTAAGGAAAAAAAAACTTACTTCAAATTCCATTAAAGCATTTTGAGGCATGGTTTGTATCCTGCTACTTCGAGTCCCAGTGTTTAGATATAAAGTAATTAAAAGACTGTATCATTTTTATGAGGCCTATATTAGTGCTATGTACATAAGTACAATTGTCCTAACCAGTTTGAAATGAGCAGGAGAATACTAAGAATAAAAATAGTACTGGGTGAAACATCAAGTGATGTTTGTTTTTTTTTTCCCATTTTGAAAAGCATGGAAAGAGACAGACAGATGTAGATTTTGCAGTTTAAATACAGACTCATTGCTTTGGAAGTTGTTTTTTAAAGTCAGACGTGCAAATTTGCGACTAAAAGATAGAAGGGAAGGCTGTTTGTTTTTAGTAGATCATTTAGAATGGTTATTGCAAAAATGTGTACAATGTGCAATTCTTTAAAATGTTTTCATTTACTATTAAGTTACATATGCTTTTTTCAGTAAATTTTTTGGGGAATGACATTTTCACAAAAAATATACAAAAAGAATTTTTACAAGTATATACACAGGATATCATAAAACTGTTGCTACACAATTTAAACTTTACTTTAACAAATATATAGCTTATACATACATCTTCACATTATGAAAAATTAACATACCAAGAAATTAAAATTGTGTAGACAGCATACTTGTAGGTTTTTTTGGTTTTTGTTTTTTACAAAGCAGATCTGAATTATACATTTTAAAATTACAGGACTATAAAGTTAATTGTAAAGGATTAAATGCCCAAATGGATAAAGAGAAACACATTTAAAAATATCTTTCATATGTTGTATGACTATGCCTTTGGGGCCATTTAACATACAGAAAAAAAAAGCTCCATTTGGCTAAAAGCAAAGATAGATTGTTTATACATACTTCAGAATGAAACAGTTACGGACTATTGGCTTTGAAGAACGTTCCTTTTCAGTTGAAGAAGAGATAGAAACATTGATTTTTAAAAACAAACTTGAATAGAAGGCAAAGAACTTACAAGGTTGAATTTTTTCCCCCTCATGTAGGTTAATTTAAAAACATGTTACTAACTCTTTCATAATCTATTTTCCAATTGTTGAGTTGTTTAGATAAGATTCTGGCTTGGTGCATCCTATAGAGAGTGAACAAATAGCATAGTCTCCTTTAGAAAGTTCCTTGTTTCACAAAATGGAGAAAAGTTAGAATTGCTATGCTCATTCTAAAGGCATGATTTATTAGGAAAGGAAAAGGAGACAAAAAATACATTTTTCTGTATGCAGAGTTTTTTATAGTACTCCCCCACCCCCCAAAAAAAAGTTTTGGGGAAAAGACAGTTCCTTTACATTCTTGTTAAATTAATCTACTTATTAAAGTAATCTACAAACTTATTTTGAGAAACAATGCCTTCCAAAAATGGTTTATTAACATAGAAGGTGAATAAACATTTGGTTCAAATGGCTAAAGCCATTTGTAAGAAATTTAGACTATTCTTTATAAAAGGAGGATTATCTCCACCTATATGTATACTTAAACAAAAAAAAACTAAACAAGTGAACAGCTGTTGGAGTTTGAATAAATTATCTGGGGAGAAAAATCATACTAATATGCTAGAAACCGATTATTTTTGACCTTAAAATATAATAACATTTTGCCACTTAAGTAAACAATATGTAACTGCTTTGTTTTTTACTTACAGTTACTATGACATAAAAAATTACACATAAAACAAATGCTAGGTAATTTTTAAAGTTTGATCCAGAATTAACAAGAACAGAGGACCAAAGAAGGGAGATGGTTTTGGTCTGACAGTAGCACAGTGATTGGTACAAAGAGTGCATAGTAGGCTTTGGCATGCTTGTGTTTATAAACCCAGTGGAATCACAGGTAACAAACAAGAAGTCATAGATTACAAATCAGGTTGATAAAATTAACCAGATAAATCATGTCATGCACACAAAAATAATTTTCTGGGTTTTAAAAACAAAACTAGAAAAGAGTCTAACAAAATACGGCAGTGACCTGCCAAATTTTATCCTCCCCACAACTAATTTTTGAAAATATAATTAGCAACATAGTTTTAAGCTTTAACTAAAGAGGACTTGAACAATAATTAAGGCTAGCTTGTATCTGCCAGATTTTATGGGTGTAAATCATGAAGTCTGTAACCTAACCTGAACAAGGCTCCTCATTTTCCAAAAGAGCTCATTCCCAACAGAGGCTTACTATGCACTGCCTGAGAAGGGAAAAAAAAAAACCAACTCCACTTTCAGTGTTAATTTTTAAAAAATTATGTCTGGAATACACAGAGGAAATTTGAGCATGCTACTCAGTACTGTCTTGTAGTGACTTACATGATACTAGGCCAAATAAATTCTTGTTATAAATTCATCAATTAGACTTGTTAAAAAGTCAAGTGATGACCTCAGTACTACCACTATGTTTCTTACCTATATTTAAAAGGCAACTAAGATCAACTGTTTAAAAGCATTAAGTAGCTGTACAAAGTTGATTTACCCCACAGCCTCACATTTTACCATTGCTTAACTTGCATTATCACTAACTGGAAATACACCTAGTTCTGTGCTGAATGAACATTAAAATTTTCAAAATGAACTGTCTCACTGAGTTTTAGGAGACTTCACTACTTCTTAGGTAGCACTATATTGTTAGGGAAATTTACGTTAGTTGAGAAGTGCTTAAGAGATCAAGAAAATGACTGAATCTTAAAACTAGTTTTTATCCAGGACTTAGGAGAATCCATTGATATTAGCACTTATATGAATACGGGATATGAGAGAACATATTTCAGGTATCTTTCCAAATGAACTTGTGTATCTGGGAATGCTATTCAGAATTTCTAACTATTTGTAAGTCTTAATCATAGAGGATCTTAAGATATTATTCATCTAATATTTTTGCCTCAGATAATTTGATATGCCTTTGACACATAATTAAATAATTGCTCTCAGAATTTCACATACAGCAAATATTTGCATTGTTCATATACAAAGTAAAAATTTTTTTTTCTACACTGAGCCAATCTTAGAAGCAAGTTAGGTGATCTGGATGCCTCATTAAATTAAGCCACTGGGATACTATCAATTTACTTTTGTAGCAACTCAAAATTACCCCAGTGGCTTAATGTAATAGTCTACATCCAAAGATCTATCTTTAAGCACTGGGGTGGGGGGGAGATCCAGCTCAGTATAAATTTTTAGGTATTTTAAGTAGATGCTATAAAGATTTGCTAAATTAAGACTGGACTTTAATTTCACACATAAATAAAAGAGTACTAGTTATCTGTCCTCAGCAGCAAGTAATGGGAAGAATTATAAATAGTGTCCTCATTTGTATAAATCAGCCAAGCAGTAATTTTAATGTGCTCAATTTTGAAACAGATCAATGTTCATTTGACTTAGTAGTTTTTTAAAGTCATATTGGAAATCAGCCTATGTAAAACTGCATTAATCTTCCCAATAGCAGAAAAAAACAATTTTCCCTCACACTAAATTTATGCCAAGGATTTATCATAACCAGTATAAATAACCAAAAAATAAAGTTGCTGTGAGAATAATATTCCAAGTTCAGCTAAAATAGTATTAGAGTTCCAAGACTGGAAGAAACCTCAGAAACCATCTAAATTTTACCCAAACATGAATCATGATGGCTTTCAAATATGTCTTCCAGTTGAGTTTCATTCCTGTCTAAAATTTCTATTAATTTTTAAATCTTATTTAATTTTATTTAGTATTATTTATCCCCAAATAACATGAGAATCCTTATTCCAATTTTGTTATTTAGACTAAATGTTCTTTTTTTAATTTTAGTTTACATTGTTAATTTCTGAACCTTAGAAGAAGGCGATAAGAGCTCAAATATTGTGGAACTATGATAATATCATATACATCTGATGTGGAAATCACCATGGATTTATTCACAAAGCAGTAACTAGAATTATACTTTTCCAGCCTTGTACAAAGTACTCACAAAGTGAAAAACTTTGTTTCTAAGTCAGGGCAAAAATCAAATCACTAAAGATATATGAAAGCAGCTTTGTGTGTATTTAGCAAGCACTGATTTACCAGTTGTGGATATGACAGTTCTGAATTTGTAATGACTTCAGTTTTTATAAAGATATTTTAAAAGCATTCTACCATTTTCTCTAGGAAAATTTACTATGTGTAAGCCATTGTCATACTTTAGTTTGCTACGAATTTGCTGAAATGAATAAGAAAGTTACATTTTGAAGTAACTTCATTTTCCTTAGCAAAATAGATAGCATAATGTTTCACTTGGTAGCCTTCAAAAATATTTTCAATGTGACTATTTTTAATCAGCATTCAGTGTTCATGCTCACATCAGAAATAACCAGTGCTTTCTGGTTTTGTTTTGTTTTTTTTGGGGGGGGGGGACAGAATGGGAGAGAATAGGTATCTAACTGTAATAGTAAAGTTAAAGAAAATCAAACTGTAAAAGGTGAACTCGGATGGGCAAGGTGGAGAGAATAAAATGGGAATATAAAGAATCTTTCACTTGCCAAAACAAAACAAAACCCCAAAACACCACACCATACTGTATCTTACAGCTTTGCCACGTTGATACAGAAAGCCCTGGGAATAATAACTTATGTTTCAAATAAAATCCTTGATCTTATGTGAAGTCCACATTCAACTCTGATTTATCTGAATATTATTTTGAATATCTGGCAGTGAACAGATTACTAACATGATTAAATACTATAGCAAATATATTGAGTTAATAATCTTTCTGTTAAGATTCTAGGCATTTCCCCAATTTTGATTTATCTTGGGGTTAGCACCATTTCTTGATCATGCAAAGGCTTTTCTTGTTGTATTCTTGAGTGAGTTACTTCATATAGTGTCTCCTTCAGCATTCAAATCTCCTTCAGTGTGGCATATGTATGCATTTCCAGACAAATAAGCTGCGGTTTGAAATAAATACAAAAGTAAGTTGTTAGAGGAAAAAAATGCTTATGTGTTCAGGATACTTAAATTTTGGTGAGGCTCTAAAATTCTGTGGGGTTCTAAAAGAATGTGAGTAATAACCACTTTTAAATTATGTTTGTATATTTGCAGTATTAGCCAAATAGAATCTATAAGGGAATTCTAGTTTTTCCTACCATATTTTACTTTACTTAAACATGAAATTCATCATCCTAACTTGTTACTATGAAATAATCTTTTCCAAAGCATACTCTATAAACTC